CTTAGAGTGCATTAAGTCCAGTTTAAAGAGAAAAGTGAATCTTAAAAAAAAGTAAGTACCTTTGCCTGAAATGAAATGCCTAGGCAGCTGTGTGTTTGAATTTCACAGCATATCATCTGACAGTGAAAGCGGATGCTACCATCTTGCACCATAACATGGTCCTATTCCTCTAAAATGTCCTCACTGGGGGTAATTCTCACTTCATCTGCTCTAGAGAAGGAGGAGCCCGTCATTTATTTTGCAGTGATTTGTGGTGCTGGAAGAACATCACACGCCTACATTCCATGAACAAAAGTTCATACCCTCTGTACTTCATTGTCCTTGCCTTTGAAATTCAGCTGGCACATTTGTTGATAACTTATATGCATATCCAAAATGATAATACGTGGATCTAGTTTTCACATTGCCAGATATATGGGAAATGACTCATACATGCTAATTCCATGCTAAATGTTTTCTTTTTCTATTATTTACATGTGTGTCTCAAGTGCTAACATTTTTTTTGTTAAATTTCTAGGCAAGCACTATGGTGGTACAGAGTAAAACGAAAGTCAAAGTTTTTACACAAATGAATTTTATATAGATTTATGTAAGTTAGCATTATTGTTCATTACAGAGTGAAAGAAAGTCTCAAAGTGGCAAAGTAAAAAAGTTAATCCAAATGAATTATTTTTTGTAAAATAAAGAGATGGTGGTAGCTCCTACCTTCTTAAAAATTCCAATAGTTACCACATCTCACTAGCTTCTTCCTGGCAGCCTACGTCCTCCTAAGGTAGGGCTGAAATGTCTCACACTGCCATATATTGGGAAGGGAGCTCATTTTTCCTGGGGAAGATCAGTATCCACATTGAAATAATGGTGGACATTTAATGCTGTTTGTTATACAAACATTCCTGAAAAGATAAGAAACAAAAATTATCACAAGTAATGCAGGGGCTGGGGATTTAGCTCAGCAGCACAGGGCCTGCCTGGCAAGCGCAAGATCGTGAGTTTGATTCCCGGTATCAGAAAAAAAAAAAACAAGTAATGCAAAGCCATCAATGAACCCTGAAGAAATGCTTCCTGACAATTAGCTTTTCAATAAGATACGTTCAAAAGAGTTTCCCAAAATTTAGGAGGGTGACGATGTTTACCGCAGGAAATAGTATTGGGGTATTTCACTGATAGCATGTGTTGGTCTCAGATGTTTACAAATACATGATTTATTCAATTATTTTTTGCCTAAATGGAAGAAAACAACCGCATTGTCTAGACCTATGAGAATCCTGCAACTACGAGTTTCTTGTGTTTTGGGTCTCCTTTGTCATCAACTTGGGTCTCCTTTGTCATCAACTTGAGAACACCATAACCATTATCTGTGCGATGCTCAGATGAATGTATTAATTTTATTCGCATATAGCACGTTTTGGAACTAAATCATGCCTTTGTTCATGCGCTTTGTGAGATGCAGAACTCACAAACAGAAAATAAATGTTTTAACTCTGGATTTGGTTGAGCTGTTATCTCCAGCCTTTCCAGACGCTAAATAAGCAGCTTCTGATTCATTGCTTAATATCCCCAGTAAATAAATGTGGTTTCAAAGGAATGGAATCAAAAGATTAGGACCAAAGTTTTCAGAAAACCTTGGTAAGTGTCTCAAGAGCTAAAGTAACTGCTTCTCTGTTTAGTTGGCTTTGTCATCTATGCTGAAGCCTGGCCCTGTTTATGCAAAAGGAGATGAGTGTTGCTTGTGTGAAAGTGTCCACAGTAAAATGCAAAAGGAGATCCCGTGCTACACACTGCACGATTTTGTACATTTTTTTGAGGAATTTTCCAGTGGCCAAGGCCACTAAAAAGTCATCACAGCACATCCTGCCAGAAAAGACTTTTCTAATTTCTTAAAATATACTGATCTCACAATATGATTTTTCTCACATATATAAACACATTACAGATATGGAAATAGAGATATAGAAATATAAACATAGACATTTATTTAACTATCAATGTGAAGTGTCCTACATGTTTTTAAATATTTACTACTATGATGTTAAAAATCTTCCAGGTCACGTTGATGCAGTGTTCTTTCAATTAAGAAATTATTACAGTACTTTACAAACTTAAATATTGCATGGTTTCTCTTATATAGGAACCCCAAATAGAAAAACAAAAAAGAAATTCTCCTCCATCCCCCCTTTTCCCTTCCCTTCCTTTCCCTTATTTTTAATGTGTTCACTTGAAACCTTATTAAAACATGAAAACAGTTAAGGATGACTTTTCTATGTCCTCTTGAATTCTCTCCCCAAAGGAAATTTTATCGAGTGCAAAATTAGAACCAACAAAACTGTCTAATAAAAGTGCTTGAGCTGTTGTCACATTGACTTGGCCATTGTGCCAGTCATAAAGACCAATTTATAATACATAGCTTAAAGTTAATAGCAAAATTAAAAGTTCAGGTAGAATCTACACTCAGTGTTGGTTTATCCATGACATAGAGTACTTGCATTATTTTGCTAAAGCTGCCAAAACAGAATACTACAGGCTGGGTGGCTTAATCAACAGCAATTACATTATCTCATGGTTCTAGAGATTGAAAATTCAAAATCAATATTGCAGTAAGGTTGGTTTCTCCTTAGCTAACAGGTAGCCATATTCTTTCTGTGTGTTTTTGTGGCCCTCCCCATGTGTACATTAATCCCTAGTGCCTCATCCTCTTTCATGAGGACACCATCTTGTTGAATGAGGTCTCAATGTTATAACCTCATTTCAACTTAATTAACTTTTTCAGGGCCTATCTCCAGATACAGTCACACTGACATGCAGGAGTTCAACACACGACATTGTGGGGGACTCAATCCAGTCCTTAGCAGTTCTTAAGACACAGGCATAAATGGAGAGTGGACTCCCTAATGTTGAGGAAAACACCTAGACATCTGAGATTCGGTGGACAAGATTTGTAAAAATTCCATAATCTTTAAAGAATTCCTAATTACAGATTTCATCCTAATGGAAATCCATAATCAATTTCTAAACATAAATGTTCTCTTTTTTGCAATGTAATTTAAAAGTGGAATAAAGAGAAAACAAATAAACAAATAAAGACATAGAATACTGTTAAAGACATGCCAGGACTTGAAAACAATAAAGACAGAGAACTAGAGAAACATGAAATATAAGACAGTATGGGGTGATTCAGATAGAAATGGTATGGAGGAAATTATTCTCTAGTGATTTCCAGAAAGCAAAATATATTCATTATTTTTCTCTGATTCTTAATACTGACTGACCATTTTTGAAGGAAAAAATGTTCCCCAGAATGAAGAAAATAGAAGGAAAATCACTTGCATCAATTTTGAAAAATTTTTGCTTCATAAACAAATTATCATAGATTTAAAAAGAATAAAGTGTAGACATATAGAACTGTGATTAATATGAGGTTCATTTCATAAATTAAGTGATGTTATTAATGGACACTGCCAATCCAAATCAAACATGCGGGTGTTTAATTAAGTTTATGCCTCACATTGACATTGACTTCAAAAAGGAAAGATCCTTTCCCCAATAACACTTTCAAAAATGAGCCATGCCTCTATTCTCGTACAGTAGTGGGTGACGAACTGTAGTCTGTATGAGGGTGCTGGGTGTGTTCTTAACATGGATAACCCCGTGCACAGATACTCTCCAATACATAGGACTAGGAACAAACCAGAAATGAGCTTTGTTCACAAACACCCCAAAGATTCTGAAATCTGTGTTCTATTCCAACCCAGATATTTGTCTTCTCCACACCTCACATACATAATGGGCAGATGCATATAGCTATTTGTATAAGAGGAAATTTTGAAATATACCAAATTTTGAGAAGTATAAAGATCGGTTATTGTTTTGTGGTGCTGTCTTCCTTTTAAAGAAAAAATAACTTCCATGGGGCTAAATTTAAATAGACTGAGTGTGGCACTTTTGTTCTGAAAATATCTTGTCACCAGGAAAGATAAAATCAATTATTCAAATCTAAAATCCTCTCAGTTTTATGTGGATTTAAAAGGCCTGGCACAGCAAATCAGTACCTTCTTGACCTCAGTCTTCTGTGAAGAGTAAAAGGGGCAGAGCCCAAGGCCAGGCACAGAGGTTGTGAGGGGCTGAGAGGTTGGGTGTGGGAAAGGTAGATAGAGACAATCTTTACAACCTCCGCTTTGACAACAGTCAAGCTTCCAGGAAGGGTGAAATTTAATTCACGAGAGGATTCACATTTCTGTCAAGAAGTCAATGTTTGCTCATGTTATGTCAGAATAAACATGTATAAAGATCAAATAAATCATTTCTGTGTGTTTATTAAATTCTTAAAAATTAATTTCTTAAAAATGCAATATAAACTATCACTTTCCTTGAATTAATCATATGCTTTAGCAAATAGTGTAATCTAGTATGGATTTCTTCAGCTAACCTTAAAACATACATTTCAAATAAGAAAATGTGCCGCTCTTAGGGAAAAAAAAATCTCATTTGCTGTGCACAAGACCCTAGCACACAGGCAAAGACAAATGTCTTTGAGAAAAACAGGCATTACAAAGGTGGGAGGAGGGGTCCAGAAGAGACTGAAATGGCTGAAAAAGAATAATGGGCGTCTTATTCTCTGATATCTGACTCTGAAGAGACTTGCACTTTCATTTTTTTTTAAGTTATTTACCATTCTGTAAGGTGTAGAAAGCTAAGAGTAAGACAGGAAAACCTTGTCCTCAGGAATGCATATAAATGTTTCTAGAGAAATACAATTCTCTTCAATTATGTCAGTCTTTCCCAATGGCTGAAAGTCGTTGCCATTTTCCTTTGAATCAGTTGTACCATCTTGTTTCTTTTTTAGGTAATGGGTTAGATTAAATTGTTTACAAGTGTTCATTTCATATTTTTCGAGTAGCGATTATAGTTTGAAACAGTCATACATATTTGACCCTCACTTAACAAAGCAGATTTTAGTGTAATATTTGAAATAAGCCTAAGACATATTTTCTTTTTGTTTTTAGCTTCAGACAAGCTTGACGGAACCATTGACATTATCCAAATCCATCTCTCTTCCACGCAGTGCGTACTGGCATCACATTACGCGTCAAAACAGCGTTGGTGAGATCTACAGTTTGCAAGGCAAGTACCTTTACAATTGGCGTCCTTCAGGTGGACCAGGAGTTGGACAAATCGCTCTGTGTTTGCATTGCTTGCTTTTCCTCTTTTCCATTTGGCAGCTGTCACTGGCCACAGTGGGACCTCTGAGATTTACAGTGGCCTTTTGAAAGCTATCCTTTCATATGCTTGTGAAAATTATTCTAAAAATTACTGTGAGGGCTAAGGACCCAATTTGGTTCAAGACCTTGACTAAATCATTATACAAAGCACATTATCAGAAGCTAAAAGCCAATGCCTGGGTCTGTTTCACAAAGGATTTTACAAAGGATTTCTTTTTAAGCATTTTTTTTTTCTTAATAGGATTAAATATCAGTTCAGAAGCTGACTTCAGGGCTAATGAAAATGCTACATAAATCTACTAACAGAAGTTTTAAGATTTAGCTACAGTCATGCTGTATAAAACTTTAGGAAAGGTAAAAGGTAGAAGGGCCAAGTGTAAGTACTTTTCTTCTGTATTTTCTCCTAATGAAATGACTGGTTAAATATCATGGTAGAAGAAAGGAATTAATAAATGGCAGGTATTTGAACAACAGCAGCAGAAATCTCATTGTCAGTTGCTGTCTTCTTATTCCTTCTCTTTTGTTTTAAAATGAATAACCTTATTGTTTGAATAAAATATTCAGCTACAAGCAATTGACTAACAGCTGAGCCACATAGGAGGCAGCAGTAAACTAAGAAGATAAGGCTGACACACACAGGAAAAGCATCTGTTTGTGTAACAGACATTTATTAAGCACCATGGTCTTGAACCTAAGAGGCATGCAGTGAATACCAGGTAAAGAATGGCTGGTTGTGACTTTCAGCACCCTGACGCATTCAGAATACTGTACCATGTCTTGGTTTTCTCATTGCTGAGACAAAATACCTGACACCCAGAATTAAGGAAGGAAAGGGTTTATTTAGCTCACAGTTTGTGGAGGTTTCAGTCCATACTTGGCTGGTTCCAAGGCAGCATGGCACATGGCACAGGCAACCAACCGTTCATGGCAGCAGAAAACAGCAAAAGCAACAAAAGCAAAAAAAGGGGAGGGAGGAAGTCAGCCTCTTTCCCTCCCTTATATTGTAAGCAGGTTACCCCCACCCAGGGTCGTGTAGCATTCACACAATCTCCATGCCCTCCTCTTGCAGCAGGCTCAGAATGAATACAAAGTAAGGACCCTGGACCCTGATCAGTCACTCATTTAACCTTCTAAACTTCTCAAGTTGACACAGTGAACAACATCCTAGAGCAGGAAGGGCGTGTCCTTTTAACCTGGGGATGTAGAACTCTGAGTTACTTAGTTAAGCTTCTAGGTTCCTCAAATTGACAAAATCTATCAACTGTAACATACCCTTTCAGAGTTTTCATGTACTAATATTAACAACTCTAAATCTTTCAACTAAAAATTGTATTTCAAACAAACTGAAATAATATTTTGCATCAATTTGCTTTCTAGGGTTTCAGACTAGATTCATTGAATTTGATCAGTGAGAACTGTATGGTTAAAAATCTATTGTGTAAGAAAATGCTGTAGGAATTATAGTCAGTTCCTGGAAGCAAGTACATTTTATATATTGAATGGTCTTTTAAATTGTACTTTAATGGCCTTCCTCAGTCAACTCAACTGCCTACATTTAAGACACACTTGTGATTTTTTTTGTATATTGTACTTTTATGAGAAAATATTTAATAGAATAAGGACTTGAGGATTGGTTTGGCAATTTCAAGGCAGGCAAGTTTCTTGGTCTTCCCTTCCCTTCATGCCAGGGATCACGTCCTGAAGAAGTCTTGTAAAACCAAGCTTTCTTTTTCCTGTGATTAGAATTAGAAAATATACTTACCATAATAGGTTATCTATTAAATATAAACATATATGTGGAAATAATGAGAGTCACTTGGGAAAACTAAAACTCAAGCTTTTAAATGAGAAAATTTAAAATATGAAGTGTATAAGGAAAGAAGTGAGAGGCTAGTAAAAATAGTTGAGAATGAGTTGAAAAATGATGTAATAATAGCTTGTGTTTTTGTCAATGATCTGGTCTATAATCCTAGAAAGTAAAAGACGGTTGTCTTCATCATAGCATAAAAGAAAAACTTTTCTCTGAAGAGACACTATATGCTGATATGCAGCTTTAGAAGTAATTTCACATTTATCCAAAAATCCCATGAGACTGCATTGAAATATATTAAAACAGTGCCACAGGCTGCTTGCAGGACACTATTGATTTACACACCAAAATAGATATAATAACTGATTACATAGTATGTGATTTATCTCACTAATATTAATTTCCAGTATAGTTGAAATGCCTTATCAATTACAACAAATAATTTATTTACTTGGCCTCAATAACATAATTTTATCTGTTGATTAATGATTGTTTTATGCAATAGAAAATATGCATTGATTAACCTAGGTAGTGTAAGTCAGATGAGTACAGAAGGTATTCAGTGTAAATGACATTTCACTGTACTTTGGGTTAATGCTTTCTTTTGCACTTTTCTTAAAGCAATACATTTTACTATTTGTATACATTTCATTTTATTTCTATGTTATAAATGGAGATAACTTAAAAATATGTAGATAATTTTTTTTAAAAAAAATGAGAGATTGTAGAGGCTCACTGGACAAGATGGTAGGAATTCACCAGATTGTTATATTGCATATTGTTGTCCTCAAATCAGTTGCTCAGATTACCAGATATAAGAATGCAAAATTGGTCAAAATAAAAGAAAATTTCAGCATTAACTATTCCTTTCAATTATTATTTTTTTATTTTATTTAACGGTTTGATCAATCTTGCACATAACAACCACTGTTAATTCCTACCATTTTGTTTTGAAACCCTGTATCATTTTTAATGTTTTTGCTTTGTTTTGTTTTTGCCTATGATGATGATATTTTGCTATTGTTCTTTTTTTTTACTAGTCTCTTTAAAATAAAAAAAATGTAGACATCCAGGAAGGTAGAAAATAAGTACACTGATAAATACTGATAGATAGATAGATAGATAGATAGATAGATAGATAGATAGATAGATGATAGATAGATGATAGATAGATAGATAGATGATAGATCATAGGTATAAACTTGCTAATGGTAGTTTGAAAGTGGTGAATATTCTATCCTTCTGTTCTGTTCTTGTGGTCAAAATTAGCAGAGAAGGAGCAGCCCCCATAGTTTCTTATTGGTACTGTGCCACAATGGAGCCACTGTAGAACAAAACAGCTGAAACAAGGAAGAAATAAAAATAAAACAGTGAGTCTCAGCATCTTTTTTTTTTTTGGTTTTTCTCCGGTACTGGGAACCGAACTCACAACCTTGCGCTTGCCAGGCAGGCGCTTTGCCGCTGAGCTAAATCCCCAGCCCGAGTCTCAGCATCTTTCCATATTCGTCTACAATTTTCCCCCACAAAGTAGCATATGAAAGTGGGGTCATCTCTATCTCCTGTCCTCAGTCACAGCCAATGGAGTGGCATCCTTTTATGAAGAGGAGGATGCAGCCGGCTGCCACTGAGGATCTGACAGAGTGGAAGTAAAAGTCAGGCAGTGTGAGTGTTATACCATCAAGTGAACTGTAAGTAGCTTTGTAGAATACAAATAGATCTGCCGAACTTTATCAGTTGGTTTTACCTTCTAATTGTGAAGCTCAGATAAATATGAAAGAAGTCCAGCATGCTTTCATTCAGAAAACAAAGAAGAAAGGTTATATTTTTAAAGTTTAATAGATTAGGATTTATTAATAAGCAGCGCATGTATGTTAATGGAAAGAATTCATAGCATGAAAATAAATCCATCCTATATTCAGACTTACCTATAATTTTGATTGCCTTTCACTCTCAAAGCTGCACCCTTTCCTCAGTTTTGCTGCATTCGTTTCTGTCCTGTGCTGCTTGATGCACTTTCAAAGACATATATATCAAGAGTGAGATGCTGCTTCTACTTTAGTGACTAGAGAATAAATGCCATGGAATTGCCCTGACTTCTCCAGGCCCCTCCCAGAAGGGTGTTCTGACAGAGTAAGCTACCGTGGTTTTCCTGTTGTACTCCAGGAGTCTGTGTCAAAAGAATGAGCCGGGAGTCTTGTCACTTCCAGTAAGTGTCCCTTGTCCAAGGCACTAGAAGGTTACCGTTTCTGTTCTCTAACCCTAAGTGAAGTTTGAGCTATGACACTTCTTACAGAAGTGGTGAAGATTACTTTTCTCTCTTTTTGCCAGATCACTGGGATGATTGCTTTGAGCTTTATTGTTTGTTTATAAAAAGACAAGAAACCAAAAACCACATTTCAAAACAAGAATTTCAAAACAAGATGACAGGAAATTAGCAATGGTTATTATATTGTATATTGTCACCTTCAAAGTAGTTATTCAGATTATCAAGTACAGACATGCAAAACTGATCAAACAATATAAGCAGTAACGTTCCTTTCAATGAACTAAGAGAAATAAGTAGTACAATTACTTTAGCTATCTTGTGTATATACACATATCTTTTCTTTTTTCTATTTTAAAGAAAGTAGTAAGTGAGAAACAAACAAACAAAAAAATAGAACAGGGGGGCTGGGGATTTAGCTCAGCGGCAAAAAGCGCCTGCCTGGCAAGCGCAAGGTCGTGAGTTCGGTTCCCGGTACTGGAGAAAAACCAAAACAAAACAAAACAAACAAAAAAAAATAGAACAGTAGCAGCCTACCAGTATCATGAATATAAACAAATCAAAGCAAGAATATTCAAAGTTTTTTCCCTTCCCTTTTTTCTCTTTTCCCTTACCCTGTTACGGCAGAAATTCCCCTGGCACATATTGGGCTGTATTCCACAAGAGACCTGAGTCTATTGAGAACAAAACCAGAGTTTAATTTGAGGCTAGCCACCCTTACTTCCCTTGCCAATCTGGAAGCTGGCCCATGGCCAACTTTGCTTCACCTTATATACATTTTCGTTTCCATTGGCAACAGATTGGGATGTCACATTCGCTGACCCCGGTG